GTCGCGCCCGCACCTCGCTCAGCCAGTGAGCGGCCGGTCTGTATGTGGGTTCCAAACCCTCGGCGGGAGCGCCGCCACGCTCCCAAGAGGCACACTGTAGCAGTGCACCACCAGGCCGGCCCTCTATTGATTTTTTTGCCTAGATGATCTGTCCAATGTTGAGAGTGGGGTGTTCAGGTCCCCCGCTATTATGGTGTTATTGTCTATCTCATTCTTGAGATCTAATAGTGTTTGCATTATAAATCTGGCTGCTCTGACATTGGGTGTGTATATATTTATGATTGTTATGTCTTCTTGATGGATAGATCCTTTTATCATTATATAGTGGCCTTCTTTATCTCCTTTTATGGTATTTGCTTTAAAGTCTATTTTATCTGATACAAGAATAGCTATTCCAGCTGATTTTTCATTTCTATTTGCATGGTATATCTTTTTCCATCCTTTCACTCTTAGTCTATGTGTGTCTTTACAGGTGAGGTGAGTCTCTTGAAGGCAGCTTATTGTTGGGTCCATCTTTTTAATCCAGTGAGTCAGTCTGTGTCTTTTGAGTCGGGAATTTAATCTCTTTACATTTAGAGTTATTATTAAAAGGTGTTGATTTACTCCTAGCATTTGATTGATTTTTGTTTAGATGTCTTAAGAACCTTTTGTTCCTTTCTTTCTAATTTTCTGTTTGTCTTCTGTATTTGTTGGTTTCTTGGGGTGGTAGATAAACTATTTTTTTTCTTTATTGTTAGCATTTTTATTTTACTGGTAGGTTTTGTTCTTTTTGAGTATTCATGGCAGTGACGGTTGTTTTTCAGGTATCAAACCCAGTACTTCCTCAAGAATTTCTTGTAAGGCTTGGTCATGTGGTAATGAACTCCCACAGATTTTGTTTGTCTGAGAAATATACTATTTGTCCTTCATTTCAGAAGGATAGCCTTGCTGGGTACAATATTCTTGGCTGTCAATCTTTGTCCTTTTGTATTTTGAATATATCATCCCATTCTTTTCTGGCTTTTAGGGTTTCTGATGAAAGTCTGATGTTATTCTGACTGGGGCTCCCTTGTAGGTGACTTGACACTTCTGTCTTGCAGCTTTTAAGATTCTCTCTTTGTCTTTGAGTTTTGCCAGTTTGACTATAACAAGTCTTGGAGAGGACCTTTTTGGGTTGAATATGTTTGGGGATCTTTGGGCCTCCTGAATCTGAAGCTCTGTGATTTTCCCTATGCCTCGGAAGTTTTCTGCTACTGTTTTGTTGAATATGTTTTCAGTGCCATTTCCTTTTTCCTCCCCTTCTGGAATACCCTTGATTCATATATTTGAGTGCTAAAGGTTGCCTGTTATCTCTCTTAGATTTTCTTCAGTTTTTGAAATTCTGTTTTTCTGTTTTCTGGTCTGCCTGTGTTAATTCAAACAGCCTGTCTTCAAGGTCAGAAATTCTCTCTTCTGCTTGTTTTAGCCTGCTGGTTAGACTCTCTTTTGTGCTTTTTATTTCATTGAATGAATCCTTCAGCTCTACAAGCTCTGCTACATTCTTATTCAGGGCATTGATTTCTTTGTACATTTCTTCTTTCAGGTCCTGTATGTTTTTTATCATTTCATTGTGTTGTCTGAGTTTTCTTGTATCTCATTTAGTTTCCTTAGAATTTTTGCTCTATATTTCCTGTCAATCATTTCAAACACTTCCTGTTCTACTGGATCTAGAGCTTGAGAGTTATTATTTTCCTTTGGTGGTGATGTACTTTCTTGATTTTTCATATTTTTGGTATCTTTCCTTTGGTGTTAGTCATTGTAGCAGGGTCTATCACAGTCCACTCGTTCCACCCTGATGTCTGGCCTGGATCCTGAAGGGACTCCCAATTCTGGGCAGTGGAACAAGGCTGGGCTAGAGGTCCCATGGTGCCTGGCTGTTCTGGCACAGCTGACTCAGGGCATGTGGGTCCAGTGGCTCTCAGGCCTCTCCAGGCAGCAGGGACTGACCTGGGCTTGGGGTCCTGCAGCACCTGCCTCTTCTGGTGCAGCTGACTCAGTGTGTGTGGGCCCGGCAGCTCTCAGGCCTCTCTGCACAGCAGGGACTGGACTTGGCTGTGGGTCCCACGTCACCTGCTTCTTCCCACTCTGCTGACTCGGGGCATGTGGACCCGGTGGCTCTTGGGCCTCCCTGTGCATTAGCTACTGGCCTGGACTGGTGGTCCCATGGTGCCTGCCTCTTCTGGTGTGGCTGACACAGGCCATGTGAGCCTGGTGGCTCTCAGGCTTCTCTAAGCGGCGGGGACCAACCTGGGCTGGAGGTCCTGTGGTGCCTGTCTTTTCTGGCATGACTGACTCAGGATGTGTCCAAAAGTTGATTCTTTAAAAAGAGCAACAAAATTTGCAAACCTTTATCTAGACTGACCAAGAAAAAAAAGAGAAAACTGAAAGTGCTAAAATCAGAAATAAAGCAGGGGCATTCTTATATTGTCATGGCTTTTCATGGTAGTAAGGTTTAGTTTCTTTCTCTTTCTGGCTTGTATTTTTATTCTGCCAGTGTGTATTGTTCTTTATTGTGCATTTGTGGTAGTGATTATTATTCTTTGGATTCCAGATGCAGGACTTCCTTGAGGATTTCTTGTAGGGCTGGTTCTGCAGTGGTGAATTCCCACAGCTTTTGTTTTTCTGATAAATACACTATTTTTCCTTCATTTCAGAAGGATAGTCTTCCTGAGTACAGTATTCTTGGCTGGCAGTGTTTTTTTCTTTTAGTATTTTGAATATATCATCCCATTTTCTTTTTCCTTTTTGTCTTTTTTTTTTTTCGTGACCGGTAATGGGATCGCAACCCTCGGTGTTGCGCCCGTACTGCGACCGACAACAGGATCGCAACCCTTGGTGTCGCGCCCGCACCGCGCTCAGCCAGTGAGTGGACTGGTCTCTATATGGGATCCGAACCCTCGGTGGGAGCACCGCCACACTCTACCGAGTGCGCCACCGGGCCAGCCCTATATCATCCCATTTTCTTCTGGCATGTAAAGTTTCTGTTGAGAAGTCTGCTGCTAGTCTGATAGGGGCTCCCTTATAGGTGACTTGATGCTTTTCTCTTGCTTCTTTTAAGATTCTCTCTTTGTTTTGAGCTTTGCCAGTTTGATTATAATGTGTCTTGGAGAAGACCCTTTTGGGATGAATCTATTTGAGGATCTTTGGAGCTCCTGGACCTGAATGTCTGTGTCTTTCCCTATCCCTGGGAAGTTTTATTATTTTGTTGAATAGGCTCTCCATGCCTTTTCCTTTCTCCTCCCCTTCTGGAACACCCATGATTCAAATTTTTGTGTGCTTAAAGTTATCTGCATGCTCTCTTTGATTTTCTTCATTTTTTAAAATTCATTTTTCCCTTTTATTTTGTCTGGCTGGGTTATTTTGAAAAGACTATCTTCAAGATCAGAAATTATTTCTTCTGCTTGTTCTACATGCTGCTTAAGTGCTTAGTTGTGTTTTTTACTTTGTTGAGTGAATCTTTCACTTCCGTGAGTTCTGCTACATTCTTTTAAATGTATTAATCTGTTTGTAAATTTCCTCCTTCATATCCTGGATATTTTTCCTTGTTTCATAATATTGTTTAACCAAGTATTCTTGTACCTCAGTGGGTTTCCTTAAGATTGTTGTTTGGAATTCCTTTTGAGTCATTTTAAGGGTTTCCTTCTCTATAGGGCCTGGTATTTGAGAATTACTATATTCTTTCAGTTGTGGCCTATTTTCTTGGGGTTTTGTATTTCTAGTATCTCTACATTGATGTCTGTTTATCTGGTAGAGCAGTCACTTCTTCTATTACTCTGGAGTGGACTTTGAGGAGAGAGATGTTGTCTTCTTTTTCTGGTCTCCACTGGTGACTCTTCTTTTTTTTTTTTTCCTTTTTGTCTTTTTTCGTGACTGGCAACGGATCGCAACCCTCAGTGTCGCGCCCGTACCGGACCGGGACCGGCAACGGGATCGCAACCCTCGGTGTTGCGCCTGCACCTCGCTCAGCCAGTGAGCGGCCGGTCTGTATGTGGAACCCGAACCCTCGGCGGGAGCGCCACCATGCTCCCAAGCGGCGCACTGTAGCAGTGCGCCACCGGGCCGGCCCCACTGGTGACTCTTCTTGTGTCAATGCAGTTGAGTGTCTGGTGGGCCACCTATACAGTGGCTGTGGCTGCTTCTGTGGTGTTGAGTCACTTTTTCAGCAGCCGTGTCTGTGGTGGTGGCTATGGTGGGCCACCTGTGTGGAAGTGGTGTTTTCAGAGTGCTCTCTTGCCTGCTACCTGGCTCCTTGCCTAGGACCCCAGGCATGCTGTCTTGCCTGCTTCCAGGTAGAGGGGGCTGCAGCCTGTGGCTCCTTGCTTAGGACCCTGGGCATGCTTGCTTACCTCAGGAAGTTGTCTTTAAATAGTTACATTTTTTTGGATCCTTTGCCCTTATGTCTCTAACCAAATGTATGTCCTAATTATCTAGGGATTTGTTTTCAAAATGAGTAAGTCTGGACCCTACTCATGAGAGTCTGATTTGGTAGTTTTGGAATTTATTTTAGAAAATCTCCCTAGGCCTCTGTATTTCTCAGACACACCTCTGATTTAGATTTAGTGTCTTAAAATCTATTAAGTGGTAGTTTAGACAAAACTAAATATCTATTGTAACTTACACATAAACTACGATTTATTAAAGAATCTTAAACTCAGCTTCTTACTAGAGTAATTAAAAAGTTAGACACTAAACTTCAGTAAAGAGTCTGTGGCTACTTTAATAATTTTTAGAGGGTAATTTAAGCTTGACTAATCAGTAGTAGTGACATTTAGAGAGAGTTAGGTTAATTTGTGCAGTAAATACCTTATTATATTTGGATTACCATTTATAGGAATGTATCTTTTAAAAATATCTTCATGTCATAATATAGTGAAGCTAGTCTTATATGTTTCTAAATATCAGCTTGTAAGAATTTCAAACCCTTTTGGAGAATAACAAATGCACTTTTCTTAAGTTTGATATTTTTTTTCCTTTTCTTTTAGAGTTCAGCAGTGCCTAAGACCTGGGTCTCAACAGACCACCTCTCCATTGTGTGGTAAGTTAATACTGTATAACTTATTCTGGTGATTTGTTGTGGTCCTCTTTTCTCATCAATGCATTAATTGTTTCATTAGCTTTCGTATAATGTTATCTGTAAATAAGGCTATAGGACAAAGATTAACTTAGGGCCTTAGAACTCTAACCTTGGTTCTTGTCTAAGATTCCCTTGACAACCTATACAATAATCTCCTGAAGAACCAGTAGCATCTGTCTCAGATGAAACTAACATCAACTAGCAAAGTTAGAGTATGTCATAGTTGGGCACAGTCAAATGCACCTGTGGTAGGACTTTCTGAACTCTTGGCCAGTCACCATACTCAGGGATTTGGTTAATGCAGAAAAACCAAGAAATTAGATTTATCCCTAATATAAATTTTAAGGTAAGATATTAAATATGAGTAAAGAAATAGGCAGACCCTAGTATTTCTCTCTGTATGTTTCAACTTAAAAAGTTTTTCTTTTGACTTTTCTCTCACTGTATAAGCAGTAGTATCTACAAGAACCACTCAGTACAGGCCTATAGAGGTGGAGTAGAAAGTACATCTATAGCTAAACTGGGTGAGAAGATTTGGGGAAGACAAGGACCCTGACAATCGTACTGTCAAATACTATCTCCTGCCAATTTGATTTATTTTTATAGGTTTCAACTTTAAGATATATGCTTAATAAGAATGATTTGTTAAATATTTTTTTTTGAGTTTACAGCATTAGAGGAAACTCAGGTATTCTGTTAAATAATAGAATTGTGCATGTTTGGATCAAAAGTATATGTTTTAAGAAAGTTTAATTTGTAACACTTCACTTTATTGTTTAGGTGTAAAGAATTGCAGTTGACTACAGTTCGAGCATTCTTTGATCTTATTGATGCTGATACTAAACAAGTATGTATTTTTAAATTAAAAATTATTTCAGTAAAGTAAAAGCTTTTGTTACAACAATCATTTTACTTTGATGAAAATAGAAGCCTATACCTTATATCAATTTTAATTAGTTCCAAAATGGAAATCTTTTTATTTTTAAAATAATGTTTTCACTACTATTAATAATTCATAGAATGCAATGAAAATGAAAAAGTGAAAAGATACCTTAAACCTTCCCCCATTTCTTTCCCTTCACTGTTTAAAGTTTGATATATATCCTTCTAACTTTTTTTAACTTAAGAGAAATACTTATTACAAGCTATTTTATAATAACTTTTTTCTTAGTAATATATAGTATTGTATATATTAAATATACATATATATATTAAACATCATGATCTATCTTATTAGACATATTTGAACCATGTTTTTAATAAAGCATCTTTAGCTTTCTGATAAGATCAAAATATATACATTCATTGAATAACCCAAGCTCACCAGAACTTAAATTATGTACTTCTACAAGCTGAGCCTTTTCCATAATAAGATTTCTGGTGTAAACTCTTAAAACTAGTGATGGTCCAAGTTGTTAGATTAGTGGAACACATGGAAACCATAGTACCCTTTATAGAACATCACATTACTCTTTCGTCTCTTTCTTGTCTTCTAGCAGATAAATGGTAATAGGCACAAAGGATTTTAACAAAATTCAGTGAATTCTATCCATTAAACTTAAATTTCCTTTCTCTGAGTTGGGAACAGATTGCCATTATTAATCTTAAATAGCCTTTCAACTCAGGTCATCTTGCCATATATCACTATTCTATGGAAACATTTTGAGAACTATGGTTCTGGTTTCTCCTTTTAGAGAAAAAGTTCCTTCTATTTTAGGTTAACTTTTTCATTTTGGCAAAGTATCGCAGTTCAGATATTTTTGGAGTCTTCCCCCTGAAGGCTCCAATTCTTTGAGAGACCATTATATGTAGCCTCTTTCTCAGTAGGTCTCTAGGTAATGCTTTCCTTATCATTGTGTCTCATAACCTTTCCCCTGTAGCATACTCTCTTGAGGGGTAGGGAGAAGTGTCTGTATTTCTTCCTTAACTCTTCAGAAAGCTGGATAACCACTATTAGAGAGAATCATAGATTCTTAGCTCTCTCCTGAAGATCCAAGTCATTTTGTGTTTTACTATTTTTTTTTTTTTGTCTTTTTCGTGACCAGTAAGGGGATCGCAACCCTTGGTGTGGTGTCGCCCACACCGCGCTCAGCCAGTGAGTGCATTGGCCATTCCTATATAGGATCCGAACCTGCGGCAGGAGCGTTGCTGCGCTCCCAGCGCCGCACTCTCCCGAGTGCACCACAGGCTCGGCCAGTGTTTTACTACTTTTTAAGGCACAAGATTCCATGTTAAGTTCATATATTTATTAAAGTAAATAAGCTTCATGGAGTTGACACTGTGACTTAGTCATGGAACACAAATGTATTTTGGTTCACTGACATCGTTTTAACTGTGAAGCTTAACTGTTGCAAAAGTCTACTTGAAAGAGTGTAACTAGATGTAATAATAGAATCAATTAAAATTGCACGACTGGTTTGTGCTTCAACTGACATTTGGTAGATTTAGGAAAAATCTTATTCCAACCAGTGGAGAAGAGGAGTACTTCAGATAGGTATATTCCTTAAAAATTGTATATAAAACTAATTTCAACAAATAAAATCACATTTTTCCATTAACTCCTAAGATGAGAAAAGAACTCTAATACTAGTACGTAATAAGTTATAATTCTGAATGGATAAATATTTCACAGACTCATCTTAAGGAGAAAATGAGAAATTTTTAATAACTGTACTGCTAAGAATCAAAATACAGAACTATTTATAAAACCGAGTTCTGTTTAACAAACTCACTGCATATAATAGACTGAACTAAAAATTAAAAAGTAAAAAGTTAAGATATGATTTCTAACCCTCAAGAAGCATATAGTCTAGGGAGAGAGCATAAGATATATATAGGAAAACCATAATTCAAAGCATAATTAATCCCAAACCTGTGGTGCTAAGGCAGGAATCAGAATTAGAGAGTAATTGTTAGTGGATATTAGCAAAAAAGTTACAGCTGAAAACTTGTGAGTGGATGGATTGCCTAGAGAGTGAGTAAGCATGGTGGAGTCCTAGATTAATTAAAGTTCTGGCAGAATGACTTATGGCTTTTAATTGATTGCAAACAGGTGTGGCTGCTTTCTAAAAAATCAAATTCATTTATTATTACTAGATCAAGTTGATTGAAGTTTAGAGTTTGCATCAATGAATATAAAAGTTCCACTGTCCTTTGCTCTAGTTACATGATATCTAAAGAACTATATCGTATTTTGTGTACCGCACTTTAAGGGGGACATCAACAAACTTGAGTTCATCCAGGGAGACAATCAGGATGGCGAAGAGTTCCATGAAAAATTCAATGTATTTGAAGTTGTTTAATCTATAGAAAAAATGTTTCATTTGGATGAGAGACATAGCAGTCTTCCAGTTTTTGAAGGACTGTACCCCAATCCAAGATATAGTCAGATATTTGATCTCAATAGGGTAAAACATTCTCCTGGTAAGAGTTGTTAACATTGTAATATACTGTCTTACAAAGCAGCAAGTTAGAAATTTTCAAGCAAGTGCTGAGTGATTTCCTAAGGGAATAGACTTGTATTCTCATTGTCATTTCTTTGTCATTGTTTCACTGTGTAATAGCGGAGAAAAATACCTTACCTGTCAGGGCCTCAGTGCTTAAACTACAAAGTTGAGTAGTGGTAGATTCTGAAGGGATTTTATATCCCAGTACATTTTTTTTTAAAGGGAGGGGCTGATAAAAAGTTGCCAACATTTTCTTGTGCTGGTATATAAGAAAGTAACTAGAAGGACAGAATAAAAGAGAGTAGTTTCCAGGGAAGGACACTTAGCAATTTATATTTTCTCTAGTGACCAGTGGATTCTTTGTTGTGGAATTGGCTCTGGTCTGAATTTGGAGATCAGTGTGTTGGAATCACTAGACCAGAGAATCTCTTAAGTTCTTTTCTGATTCTATACATCGTTATAATGTTTTACTCTTAATTGTTATTTGAGAGATATTATTGCACAATGATTAAAAGCATGGACTCTAGAGCCATAATGCCTGGGTTTGAATTCCAGCCCAGACTTTTAATAACTGTGCGACCTTCACAAGTTCCTTAATTTCTCTGTGCTTTAGTTTCCTCTTATTTAGAATACAGATAAAAAGGTTATTATCTCTTAGAGTTCTCATGATGTTTAATAAGTTAACAACGTGTTAAGTGCTTAGGACAGTGCCTGGCTCAGAGTAAATAATGTTGGCTCTTGTCATTATTCCTTGAAGCAATGTTTCATTGAACTATCACAGTAGATATAAAATGATACAGAATGTATGAATGTTCTTTCTAGATAACTCAAAATTCCAAGAAGAAATTGTCAGTTTTGAATCACCACTTTATAAGACACCCAGCAAAACATTTTGAGGAAAATCCTGCAATAATATCTGATTTAACAGGTTGGTGGTAATAACATTTTAATTTCAAGTAGGGTTTTTCCATTATTATTTTTAGAAAAATTTGTTATTAGCAGACAAAGTCTTTGACACTCTGATACTTCAAGTATTATTATCCTATTATATTTTATTAGTTTCCCTATGATGGTGATGTTCTTGGTTAGGAAGGGAAAAAGTAGAAAAGCAACTTGTAACATATTGCTGATGAGAATTTTGTCCTGAAAATAACAAGACATTTAGAAAATTTTTAGAGTTGAATGTCTATTTTCTCCTGACAGTCACATAAAATAAGTGCTATATTATTCTTGCCTCCTTTCAGTTTCTCAATTATCAATTATTCTTCAGTCTTCTGTTGGACTACCAGCACATCTGTGGCTGGTAAATTTTGCTTTTACATATAATAATACCTGTTATACTGTATTTAATTATGTCTTATTTGGGAAATATTTATTTCATTCTATTGATAATTTCTTATAATTAAAAACACCAGATAGATTTATAATACTTTACTTGATGTGAGTGCTAGTTGGTGGTGAGCATGTAGAGAATGTGTTACTAGACTTTTTCTTTCAAAATAGCCAGGGTTTAGGAATCCATTTTTTTGTTATGATTGAGAAGTATTTCAGCAGAATTGAAAAAATAAAAATTATTTAATATAACAACAAAACAAGGCAAATAAATATTTTTCTTTACCTTAAGGGACGTCTATGTGGGTTCCAGTAAAAGTGTCCAAATGGACCTATGTGGCTTACAATGTAAGTATTTCACAGATGGATTTTTAATCTTTTTTTCAAAAATATTTTATTATTTATTTATTTATTTTGGTGGCTGGCCAGAATGGGGATTCAAACCCTTGACCTCGGTGTTATAACACTATGCTCTAACCAGTTGAGCTAACCGGCTAGCCCTTGAACATATTATAGTATTTATCTTTAAAAGTTAAAGACTCCTTAAAAGATGATAATTACATACCATTTTCCCACATTTTAATAATAATTCCTTAATAATAAATATCTAGTTAGTGTTCAATTTACATTTTTATCATAATTTATCATATAATTTTTGCTTTCTTTGTTTTTTAATTTGTGTAAATCAGGATCCAAACAAGGCCTACACATTGTTGTTAATTGATGTTTCTTATTCCTCCTTAATTTATAATATTCTCCCCCCCCTTTTTTTTTCTTGAAATTTATTTGTTGAAAAAGACAGGTTGTTTATCTTTTCTTATAAGTTAGTAGTTGAATCAAGATGATCGATCAGATTCAGGTTTTTGTTTTGTTTTTGTTTTTGCTAGACTATCCCTCTTTTTGTGATCTTAGCAGCTGTTGATGAGGATTGCCTGGAGTCATTAATTTATTTAGGAGGATGCATAAATTATGATACTTTAATTTTATTATTCTTTATTCATTTATTAATTTGAATACTATATAGAAAATCTTCTCATCTACTAAATTTGTCAAAAATAGAACAAATCGTAAAGGAGAATGATAATTCCTTGGATCTTTGGATCTTACCTTATGTTATTTACTGGTTATCAGAGTTGTGAGTTGGTACACACGCATCCTCTATCAGTGATCATCAGAGGTTTTTTCTTCACAGTATTGTTACGAATTTATGGTTTTAAATATATTCGTGTTTCATTCCATTGACACTAAAATTGTCCTTTGTTTGGTCAGTGGAAGCCATGTCAAATTTGGCTCATGAATCTCGTTTATATAGCTCTTTAGTTGTCTTTAATAGTTTCCTCACTTGTCCAATATGACAAGATATTACATCTCATTTTGTCCATTTACTGCCCCAGACCTTGAATCAGCTATTTTTCTAAGAAACTATTCCTTTTATTTAGGAAATGGTATCTCAAAACCATAATCTGGCACTACAGATGCTTATGAGTACTGAATTGGCATTTCTAGGCCTTTTCAGTGGCTAGAGCTAAGAAAAGTATTTTATCTTAATTAAAAGACCAAAAACACATTAAACAACAAAAATAACTATGCATTCATACTGATACTTCCAGGACAAATTCAGGAATACAGCATTTATACCTAATCTCTCTATCTTACCTGTGTATTTCCTTCCTTCCACTCTTAGAATATTGGTTCTCAGCAACACCAATAATGAAAGATTTAGAATAATTACTAATTTGTTTTATCTGGATATTTAATGAAAGTATTCACTCTCATTATAGCTATATTAAGTATTTTCTTATTTTTTTTAGGAATCTGATAAGATATATTTTACATTTCCTCTTGCAAATCATAGAAAAATCTACACTCATGTCTACTGTCAGAGCACCATGCTGGTAAGAAAATTGGTACATTTTATGCAAATTTAAAAGGCTAACTATTGTTCACTTTTCAGTTCAATTAATATCTAGTAGATCAAGCTATGAACTATTATTAAATCTAATTAGTTGAAAAATATTTGTCTAGAACAGTGTTTTGATTGAAAAGTATTAATCAAAAATTTTCTATAACTGATAGCATACTACGAAATTCTACCTTTGCTCTTCCACCCTGACTTTCTTAGATTCATAGGTTCAGGATGAGGGAATTGAATTCAAAGCCCCTTTTATTCTAAAATTGTATTAGTATTTTAAAGAATACCTATATTTAAGCAAAGCTATTCTGTAGCAGTTTTATAAAGTGGATCCAGTTTTTCCATTAGTTTCCATACTAAAATTACAGGTACTTTTTATACCAAATATTCTCTTAAGATAGAAGAGTAACTGTTACAATGTTATCTAGACTTACTATATCAGAGTAATGATTTTGTTTGTGTGTTTCTTTTTAATGAGTACCTACTGTGCTAGGCATCATTCAAAAAAATATTAGATGCTATAGTATGCTTTCATTATGGTATTAGGAATGGATAAGTAATAATTTCATAATTTATTAATGTTTTTATTTTCAGGAATTTTTCCCAATTTTTCTTTTTCCTTTATTATATATAATGGTTTTTGTTTGTTTGTTTGTTTTTGTTTTTGGCATGTCTCAAGATTTTTCACTTTATATTTGCATCTTTCATAATTTAAGTTTCTTCTTCTTTCGTTAGGTTATTTGTATTTTTTTAGAACCATGATCTAGTATATCACTTTGCTGGAAGATGCTTCCATCTGATATATAGTAAAGTCTTTAGAAAAAAATGATAGGCAGGCATTGTGGGCTAGGTGCCAATTTTTTTTTTTAAACTTAAAAAAAAAATTTATTTTGAAATAATTATAGATTCATAGGAAGTTGCAAAAGTAGTACAGGGAGTTCCCACACACCCTTTACCCAGTTTTCCACTAGTGGTTAAAATTTATATAGTACAATATCAAAACCAGTAAATTGACATTGAAACAATGTGTGTATCCCTCTGTTTAATTGTATCAAATGTGCAGATTGTGTAACCACCAGCTGCTAATTAATACTATATTTTAGTGGCATCATCAGAGTTTTGCATCTCTTTTAGAGACTAGCATTTCTCAGCCTACAATCTGGATGGGCAGTTTATTCTGGGAGAATTTGGCCCTGAGAGCAATGGCTTAAAGTATCTACACTCAATACTAAATTTCAAATCAGAATGTCAGTATTATATTGAGAAAAATGCCCACCAAGGTGCAAATTATTCATTTGTATGATTCCTTTTTTGTATGTAACATCTATCTGTATTAATCATGTGTTAAGTTACAAATTTTTTTTCAATTTTTATTATAGAAGTTTTTAAGCATATGTAAAAGTAGAGAAAAAAATACAGTAATAAATTCTTTTGTAACCAACGTACAGCTTTCACAATTACCAACATACTGCCATTCTTATTTCATTTATTCCTTTCCACTTTTTTTGAATGGAGCATTTTTAAAGTAAATTCCAGGCATTTTGTCATCTCATCCATAAATACTCCAGCATGTTTTTCTCTCAGGTAAGAATTTTACGCATTACCATAATGCCATTATTTCATCCAACCAAATTAGTAGTAATTCTTTTTTTTTTTTTGATGGCTGGCTGGTACAGGGATAATACTAATTCTTAATATCATTCATGTCGTATCTAGTCCATGTTCAATTTTCTTTAGTTCACTTAAATTTTCAGTTTATTTGAATCAGGACCCAAACAAAATATATACATTGGCTTTGGTTCATGGATCTTACATCACAGCCCATTTCTGCCCACCCTCTGCCATTTATTTCTTCAAAAAAGTAGGTTATATGTTCTACAGAATGTCCAACATTCTGGGTTTAGCTGATTGTGTTCTTGTGGTGCTCTTGATATGTATTTCTGGCCCCTATGTTTTCCATAAACTGGTAATTACATATAGAATCTTGATGAGATTCAGGCTAATTTTTTATGGTAAGAATGTTTTATAAATAGAGCTGTGTACCTCCTATTTCATCACATCAGGAGGTACATAATATTTCAGTGACTTAAAGACTTATCAGTGGGCTCAGGTGTTAACAGCACAATCAATCCATTATAAAGTTACCAGTCAGTTTTTCAACCTAATGATCTTAACAGCCATTGGAAGCATTACTTTCTGTAGACAGATACCTAAATGTTCATAGATGGACAACTGGATGAGGAAAATGTGGTATATATACACAATGGAACACTACTCTGCCATAAAAAAAAAATGAAATTCTGCCATTCACAGCAATATGGGTGAACTTAGAGAAAGTTATGTTAAGTGAAATAAGATAGGCAAAGAAAGAGAAACACTGTTATGTCCTCACTCATAAGTGGGAGATAAATAAATAAATAAATAAATAAAAGATACAACAATCACGATAATTCCCTGAACTTTCAAAAGGAGAGAATGGAATTGAGGCCCCAGTGGAAGGAAAGAGGGAGGGGAACATGGGGTAGCGGGAAGCTGGTAAAGGGCTGCAAAAAATGAATACATTATGTTTAAATGATAAATGAGCATATATACTAATTATCCTGATTTGAGTATCACATTTTGCACACAGGTATTGATATTCAATGCTGTACCCCACAGCTATATACAATCAATTATGTTTCAGTTTTTAAAAGAAAACTATTTTTTTGAGAACTCTAAGTTTTTTGATCAGTAGCATTTTCTTTTCTGTGTATTTTAGGAGTTACTTGGTAATTCCTGAGTGACTTCTTTCTAAGGCTTTTAATATAATTCTTGTAATTAGTTAGGAGTGTTTTCCAGATAAGTTGAAATTGTTCTTTTGACACCTAGGTTATATCAACCTGGTGTTTTAGGGTAGGTTTGAATAATACATTACCTATTCAATCCATTTATGAATGAGATGGAACTACCTATACACTGAAGTAAGTACTGTGGTATATTGGCAGCTTTCCTAATGAGGGCTACCTTTGAGGAAAGACTCCCTTAGTAGCTGCAAAAACCCATTACAGAAGTGGGTTGGATCTTTAGAGGCTGTTAGATTTTCTTCGTCTGGGCTATGCAGGTCTGTTCTGTTGCCTCATCACGTTATTGTTCTGGGAAGTACAGGTAACTGATATAGGAGTCACACAATTATTTTGCCTGCAGTGGAGAGCAGAAAAATACCACATTGTTTTTTGTTTATTTCCTGCCAGCTTTCTTTTTGGTATTCATGAAGAATGTCTTAAAATTTTATTGAAGCCCGATGAGGGCAGAGACAATGTCTGCCTTATTCATCATTTTCCTTAATGGTTTAGCATAATTCCTTGGCTCTAGAACACTTATAAATATTATCTGAATGAAAGGATCAATATCTTCATTGTCCTGTCTGGAGTACTGAGGACAAATTTATGTAACTATGTGAGCAGTGCTTCTTATCCTCTTACGTCCTGGTAGGATTTCAATAGTCAGATCATCAGATCTTGGAACATTGCTCTTACTTCCTTAAAAGCTGTAGTGAAGATTTTAGGTCCCACTGCTCTTAAATGACTATACAGAATGTTAGTCATTAATGCAGCTGTGCCTGTGAAGTAATAACTAGCTTTAGTCTTGAACCCTTGGAATTGCTCTTCATTCCAAACACATTCTTCATTGTATAGAAGTTTTTTGCTTGTAACCAAATGGGAACTCAAATGATAAAGTAAAAAGCTGTACATATGTTAACTATTTTCTTTAATTGCTTGGCTCTGGATGTTTGTTTGTATATGTCTACCTTTAGTTGTTCATTGTTCTGTTTTTGTTAAAATATAGGTTACTTACTATATAACTAATGATGGCCATTACTGAATCTTTAAGTTTTGATTCAACTATTGGAAATGTTTAGGCAATATGCTGTAAAGAGATAGCCATTGGGTCACTTTATCATACTGCTGCTCTAGGGTAACTGCTTATCCAGCTATGTTGACATTAGACTCCTTTTCCTATCCTTGACCAGTTTGACTTTTGGGAATATCTTCCCAAAAGATGGTACTCCTACTCACCCTGTCATATAATGGTAAAGTACTGAAAATGTGTGTTTTATATAATTGTTTTCTACAATATTTAGTGTGTTTTGTGTTATTAATCAACAGGATACAAATAGTTGGATTTTTGGCTGCATAAACAGCACTTCTATGTGGTAAGTCTTTGAACATATAGCCCTCCATCATTCATTTTTTTCAATATAGACAATACTCAGAAATTACATTTTTAGAATACCTTCATATGTTCTTATACTCATTTTGCTGCTGTATTAAATTATAGTATTGATTTTGAAGTAAAAAGTAAAGGAAATGAATATAGTAGTAATTTTCTCTAACATTGAAAGGTGGTGGTTGGGAAAAACAATTTTTTTGTTACCAAGGGAATTGTGTGGACAGAGTATATTGAATTAGACTTATTGGACTTCAGTTCATTATAACTCTCTCTGCTAGGTCTGTAGATAGTTTCTTTTTCCTCTGAAGCTTATTTATAATTTATAATACTTCAATATATTTGTCCTTTAATTATATTTTTATATTTATTCCAAAGCCGGCAAGGGGTTGATTTATCATGGAAAGCTGAACTGTTGCCAACAATTAAGGTAAATTATGGCTTCAGAATTTTAATATCCAGATGAAAAAATACTTGTGCCCATAGGTGTTTTATAGTGTGCTCTTTTATTAATTTATCTAAGTATTAAATAAACTTGAGATTTGCTAACCTACATTTTAGAAATATTTTCTCTAGAAATACATTTGATGAGGAAAAACATGCAATTAGTATTTTTTCTTAATTTCAGAGATTAAAAACTATAAATTAATAGTTCTCTAAATCTGTGTTATAGCATCATACCAAAAGAGCTGGATAGATTTTTAAAATTAGAGGGTAAGTTCGAATGGTCTGTCTTAAAATATAAGCTGAGTAGTATACTCAGAATTCAGGAGGAAGGACCTGCAGTACGGAAGTGGGCATCTCGAAGAGACTTAAGGTAATTCTCCATATCAACTTCAACATCACTTTGTGGTCAAGCACTTAAGAAATGTCTTAATGCAAACATATTATTACAACACATAACTATTCCCTTATGTATGTCTAGAAAAAAGCTGGAATAAAAACTATTTGGTGGCTTGGCTTTTCATTAAATAGACCAGTCTTTTACCTATTCATACCTCAAAATATGGACTATAGGATTTGCTCTTAATTTGAGAAGAGAATAGTTGTTCATCTGGTGAGATGCTTTATTAGCCATATTGTGTTTGTCATTTACTAAATAAATTCCAGGGTTGCTGTTCATATATACTATTAGCCAGACTTAGAAATGTAAACATAAGCGTTTTACGAAGTACTGAACATAAATTTGAAATCTGCTTTTTAAAAAGAACTAATTAAGTAAGAAATAAGTGTTGTAATTTATCTTTCTTTTATCATGCTTTAATCTCTATATACCCTAAGAAATAAAAACAGCTTTTTTCTTCATTTTTTTTTAGTCTCTGATGTTAAGACTTCAAGACTATCCATCCTTGTCTCATCTTGTTGTTTATGTACCATCTGTTCATGGAAGTAAGGTAACAAGTGGATTAATGTTGTTATCAGAATGCTTTGGGAATGCTCATGCTAAAATTTAAAGTTATTTTTTGATGAATTCTTCTGCATAGGGCTTATCCAGAACAATGGCCAGTTTGGTGATCCACCTAAGACTGTTAAATCTTTAGGATTGTCTACTCCAACTTGAACTAAGCAGAATAAACCCATGTCCCTTTGTTCCAAGTGAGAACTGGTTCCAGTTTTTCAGTCTTTCAAAATCTATTAATCATTAGATACCCTTTTATGTATAAGACAACGTACTAGGAATTATAAGAGGCATATAAATGAGGAAGACATGAACCTCTTCTTAGAAAACTACATACTATTGGGTAGGGGGATAGAAATATATTTGGCAGCAGGGGAAAAAGTGAGAAAAAAGAAGTATCCAAATATATATGTAATACAAATCAGAGTATAGCAAGTACCTGAAAAGTATAAAAGGGTGAAATATCTCTAATTGATATATCAAGAATGGCTTTATAGTGAGGTAATATTTGAAATAAAAAGAAAGTTAGGATTTTTATAGATAGAATGAACATTCCAGACTGTGTTGTCATTACGGGAATCACTAGCACATGTGGCTATTTCTATTTAGATTAATTAAAATTAAATAAAATTAAAAATTCATTTTCTTAGTTTTACTAGCCTCATTCCACATGCTCAGTGGTGACGTCACTGCAGAAAGTTATAATGGACAGCACTGTTTAGACAAAGAAACAGTGAGAGCAAACCACAGAGGTATGAAAGCATGGGGTATGTTTGGAAAACAGTGAATAAGTAAATAATAACTTTGAAAGGATGGCCACCACAGGTAGAATAGTAGTGGGAGAAAAATCGGGGAAAATAGTTCATGACCATATTGTGGAGGCCTTGACTGAAGGATTCAGGACTTTATCGAACTCAGTAGGAAGCCATAAGATTTCTCACCATAGTAGTAATGGGATTAGAGATAATGTATTTTGGAAGATTAATCTATGTATGATGGGTAAGAAAAGAGAATAGGCACCTCATAAGAAGTTATGAGAGCTTGTACTAGGGAAGTGGGAGTAGAAATAAAAGAATGGTGATTTTGAGAGAATTAGTTGGGGAGAAAGAAGATGCAGGTAAAAGGCCCTTTCTACTCCCCTTTTCCAATTTCACCCAGCAGATTTATCCTTCATGATACAACCTAAGTGTCCCTCTTTTCCTTTTCCAGACTCCTTCAGTAGCCTTTTACTTACTCCCGTGATACTTTGTTTATAACTTCTTCGAGAGATTTATTACATCAAGTTATAATTTGTTAATGTCTCTGTTGCCATTACTCTGAGAGGGTAATGACCAGATAGGTTTTAATATACTTTGCATCCTCAGCCTTTAGTGACTACCAGATAAATGCTCAAAAAATGTTTCTTGAATGAGAAAGTTGATGAGATTTGTGGCCACAATAATTAGGAAAAATTTAAAGAAATAGGAAAAGGGGGATGTAGCTGGGAATCATCTCAAATACTAAGCCTCACAAGTACCTTATAATGGATTCATTGTTTTGTTTTGCTTAGCTCAAGTGAGAGGTAATTCAGCAGCTTCAATACTAAAAGCTCTCTTTAAGGGTTTTTATCTCAGGTAAGTTGGTTTTGAATGAATCTAACATTTTCCCAAACTTGAAAAGGCCCTCTCTGGTCATTCCAAGAAATTAATGAGCTTTTCTGCAGACAGTCATAGCAGCCTAATAAATACATAATATATTTTAATGCTGTTTAGAAAGTAACACTGCTGACTCTACTGTTGTGCTGCCCTATCTCTGTCTCACTAGAATGATAACTTAGGTTTTTCATAATTTTTGCAAGTCCGTGTTATAGCCCATCATCAGAAGGCTACATATAGGGCCGGCCCGGTGGCGCACTGGAGAGTGCGCTGGCTTCCGCCGAGGGTTCGGATCCCATGTGGAGACCGGTTCCCGCTCACTGGCTGAGTGCGGTGCGGGTGCAACACTGAGGGTTGCGATCCCGTTACCAGTCAGTAAAAAAAAAAGATAAAAAGGAAAAAAAAAAAAAAAAAAAAAAAAAAAGAAAAAAAAAAAAAAAAAAAGAAAAGAAGGCTACATATATTCAAAAAGACGGTATTTAAAAAATTGAGTTAACTGATATCTTAATATAATTTTGGAAATGCAAATATGGAATTATCTACATTTTTTTGATGACAGAAAACAAAATAATTAAACCCATTAGAAATTTATTTACCTTCGATGTTTTAGGGCCCAACCTTTGGATTCTGTCTTTCATCGGTAAGGATTTATTCCATTATGCAAAACTAAAGGCAGAGCCAAATTTTTAAAGCAATAATAAAAATTCTATTATTTTAAGTACCTGTACAAAGTTATTTAAATCACTTTTGAAAGCTGCTTTCCTGTCTCAAGTAATCTCACCCGAAAGTACTTTGTAAAAACATGATGAATAATCCTGTTCAGTAAATGATTTTTCTAATCTTTTAACAGCTGTTTTCTATAATGAAAATATCTGTTTTCTTTGCTTTATAAGTAAAAAGGGAGAAATAAAGCAAAATTCCTTAGCAAGTTTTTCCTTTTATTTCCCCATGTGTGTACTACAGTCTAATAGCAATTTCCCTCATCTGTTTTCCACTTTCAAAACAATTGAAGATGCACTCAAAAAGCAAGCAAAATAACACTGCTTCAAACATATCCAAGATATAGTTGTCAGAAAAGCCTAGAATAGACCCCACTGGCTTTCTACTTTCTGTAGACAGCAGTCTACTTGCTAGCTACAGTTAGGCATAAGATTAATTTTTCTTCAGCTCCTATAGATCAAAATAATTTGACTGCATTATGGAGATTATTTTAATGAAATTGTACCTTTACCAGAAACAGTTCTTACAGATAACTGAGAATAGTTTCTTATGCAGTTGAAGAAATGTTATTAAAAAAGAAATGTGACTACAAAAAACTATAATGGTACAGGTGTCATTTATAGATTTACTTTTTTCTTCACTTTGTACATAGTAAACCTTTTATTCCATTTACTATAATAACTTTTTAACCTGAAATAATCTTTTACAAGTAACTTTAGCCATCTGTAGATGAATGGCAGTATGTCTCCAGAAGCCTTTTTTGGTCTAATTAGATTATAGATACTTAACAAATGTAGGATTTTCTAAAAAGATATATAACAAAATCACATTTTCCTTTTGACCCTGAAAAGTATTCAGAGATATATTATCTAGATCCTTAATTAATCTTGAATTAGCCTTAGTTCTTAAAGCTTTGACCCATCTTTTAATGTCCCTCTTCTACAAACACCTAAAACTAACTATAAAAAAACTTTGCTACGAATCTATTATTATAGAAATGACCCTCTAATAATTTAATTAAGCTTGTTTATCAAGTTTTCTCAGCATAGCATCTCTTCTTGAGGAATTCTTGCCATCTAAGTATAGACAGAGTTATAGTGTGATAGATGATACTTTCTCCAGAGCTGAAGTTTATAGACTTATTTTCCTTTGAAACATCAAGCGAAGATATTTCACTATAAATTGAGTTCTATTTTTTTGTTTTATATTTCAGTTTGTTGTAGATTGTGAATTCTTTAAAAAAGAGACAAGATCCTTACAGCTTCCTGTAACTCATCTTTTTTCCTTTGGTAAGTACTTTGTTTTTGGAAATCTTAAAAATCAGTTTTATTTTTATCAGAGTGCTAATTTATTTTATCAGTTAGTTGCAATAAAGGAGAGTCTTGTAACATTAAATATTGTATTTTTCAAGTGTAGTTCTTAGAATAACTATATGATGTGGTTCAGTGGTTTGATTCTCCTTTAATAATGGGCTGGCAATCATTTTCTGAGAAGTGAACTTTAAAAGAAATTTCTCCATAATCACATACATTTGCGGGTAATTGTGTGTTTGTGTGTGTGTGTGTGTGTGTGTGTGTTATGTGAAATTTATCCTAAAAATTGGCCCATCTTGTAAAATTTTTATTATAGAAAATAAATTCCTATCTGCCTTATGAATGTTACAAAATTTCTCTAAATATTCTTTTAAACTTTATTTTGAAATAATTTTAGACTTATAGAAAAGTTACAAGAGTACAGAGTTCCTGTATCTCCTTCACCCACCTTTCCCTAATGTTGACATCTTACATAAACACAGTACAGTTTTAAAAATTAAGAAATTAGCATTGGTACAGTACTACTAACTGAAATATAGGCTTTATTTGGTTTTCACCAGTTTTTCTACTGATGTCCTGCTTCTCCAGGTTCCCAGTACATTTAGTTGTCATGTCTCCCTAGTCTCCCATAATCTGTGACAGTTGCTCAATCTTTCCTTGTCTTTCATAACTTTGAAACCTTTGAAGAGTATTTGTGAGTTATTTTGTGGAATGTCTCTCAGTTTGGAATTTGTCTAGTACTTTCTTATGATTAGATTGAGATTATGCATTTTTGCTAAGAATACCACAGAAGTGATGTGCATTTCTTAGAGGATCGGATCAAAGGATACGTGATGTTGATATATCTAATTACTGTTGATATTAACCTTGATCTCTTGGTTAAGGTGGTGCCTGCCAGGTTTCTCCACTGTAAAGTTACTGCTTTTCCTTATGTAATTCATAACTATTTTGGGTGAGATACTTTGAGAAGATGTAAATATCCTGTTTTTCTTCAAAATAACCCACTAATTTTAACATTCATTGGTTCATCTAGCCTTTAGAAAATATTACTCTGCTATTCTACATTTATTGGAATTCTTCCTGAGATAACATTGTTCCTTCTCCCCCATTTATTTATTCAACTTTTATTTATGTCAGTGTGGACTCATGGATATTTATTTTATTCATTGGGTTATAATCCAATACTATTATTACACACACACACACACACACACACACACACACACACACTTTTTTTTTTCTGACCGGTAAGGGAGAGATAACATTGTTCCTTCTCCCCCATTTATTTATTCAACTTTTATTTATGTCAGTGTGGACTCACGGATATTTATTTTATTCATTGGGTTATAATCCAATACTATTATTACACACACACACACACACACACACACACACACACACACACACACACACACACACACTTTTTTTTTTCTGACCGGTAAGGGAATCACAACCCTCTGCACGGTGTTGTATGCACCATGCTCAGCCAGTGAGTGCACCGGCCATCCCTATACAGGATCCGAACCCACGGCCTCAGCGCTACCAGCACCGCACTCTCCCGAGTGAGCCACGGGGCCGGCCCTTATTATATATTTTTTGCTTAAGTTGTTCCAGCTTTGGATATTGAGAGTTCCTTTGGGTTGGCTACTGTGCCCTTTTGGCCTGCCCTGTCATTTAAATATTTAATATGCTGTTCATGAAAAGAGTCTGTGTTACTTGAGAGATTTTTGCTTAAGTTGTTCCAGCTTTGGATATTGAGAGTTCCTTTGGGTTGGCTACTGTGCCCTTTTGTCCTGCCCTGTCATTTAAATATTTAATATGCTGTTCATGAAAAGAGTCTGTGTTACTTGAGAGAGGAAACTTCTTTTACAGTTTTTATCTCTCCCCTCATCCTTTTTTTTTTTTTGGTACAAAAATACTCAGAACAATACAGAAAAGGCAACTCAGAATCACCTCTACCATTAAAGATAGTAAGCTTGTAAGATAAAAGATCTGCCAAGAATGCATACTTTTCTGAAATTGGAAACGTACTTGACTTTTTAAAAACACATAGATGTGATTGGAAGTCATTATAAATGTTGTATTTGGTTCAGATCATATTGCAGGAAGTTTAGATTTTTAGGAGTTCATTCCTCCATACCAGAAGTGAAAACCTGTAAACTGTTTTTTAATATTAAAAATTTGTTAGCATCATTTTAACATTATTTAAGCAATCAGTGCATTTAAAAAAAATTCTTTGATATTTGAAATAATACAGTACTTTTAATTCAACAGGATTGTCTTCAAGGAAAGTGGTATTAAATACAAGCGGCCTATACTACAATATAGAGCTTCTGAACTTTGGACAGGTAGTTGTTCTGACTATAGCAAGAAGGATTTGATTTTACTTTACTGTTTAGTTAAACAAATAAACTTTTGTATTTTTGTTTTGTTTTTGTGATCGGATTCTATTAGATATACCAAGCTTTTAAAATCAACGTGGTAAGCAAGTGCTCAGGAGTCAAAGGTAACTTTATTTTCTAAGAAACATAAAAGAAATAGTATTGTCATTAGAAGAATCAATAGGTCTTTACTTGGATTTTCTGTAATACTTATTTTTCCATATATTTTTATGTGAAGTAAGATTAAATATGTAATAATGGAAAAGATTTATATTCCAAGGGATTTAACATAGATCCTTCCTTAACAGTAAAGTATTTTCATCTGTTTCATTTTAAATATCCACATTTTAAAAATACTATATATCTTTGTCTTATTATAACAGTAATTCAGATTTAGCTGTTTAATATTTTTTCAGTTTCTTAGTACTACTTATATGATCTAATATCTTTTGTAAGTCTAATTAAATCATTATTATTTAGGAATTCTCCCTAATTTCTTATTATGTAATCTAACCCTTACTGATCATTTTTATGAAACGGGCAATTGTATAATTAGGTATTATAGTAGCTTATATAACATTTAGGTTAGCATATGGTTGGTAATCTCAATTCCTTTGTGTTTTAACAGAAGAAATAACTAGTATCTATAAACTTCATATTCCCTGGTCTTATGAAGATTCACTAACCATTGCACAGTAAGTATATGAAAGAATATACTTTAAACTTTGGTGTTTTGAATAATAGATATTCTTTGTTTGTTTGTTTGTTTTGGTGGCTGGCTGGCAAGGGGACCCAAACCCATGACCTTGGCGTTATATTATAAGGCTGTGCTCTAAGCAACTGAGATAACTAGCCAGCCTGGAATAATAGATATTCTGCTTCGTTTATTTACTTAAATCATATGAATTATTAAAATGCCTCTTAGAAAAAAAATGTATCCTTTATGTAGCATTTTGCCCATAATTTAAGATAATATATAGTATTCTTATTTAATAATGTAGAACTTAAACTTTATTTGTTTGAAACATGAACCCCTTTCCACCATTTCCCCCAATTCTGGTGTCCTAGAGGGAGCATTTAGACAAATGTGATATGGCTGAAAAAGTGTCTGGCATCTAGCATCCTCTACATTATTTCATTGTATTATGCTGAGGATTGACGTAACTATGGCTATTTACCAACATTTTATATTTGAGAATTGATATTTAAGTTATTTCTTCAGGGTTCCATCTTCCACAGAAATTTCTCTGAAACTCCATATTGCTCAACCAGAAAATGACAGCCATGTGGCATTATTAAAAATGTACACGTCATCAGACTGTCAATATGAGGTAAGTTGTATGTTTCCTTAATCTTTTAGTAAGATTTAGTTATAGAATAAGCTGGAAATGTTTTTTTATATTAGCCTCAGATATATGGTGATGTGGAAGCCAATGCATACAAGAAATAGACATTTAAGATACTTTAAATATTCTCTCTTTTGCCCATTATCTTCAGTATTTCCTTAGCTGGACCATTTGAAAATATATACATCTTAGTAAGTAACAGAAAATAAAACAAAAATTGAGACTGCAGATTAACCTTCTAAATTTGAAAGCCCAAAGTCCAGAATCTATCATAAATTAAAGAACATTATGAAATCAGCTGACATGGTTTTACTACAACAATTGACATGATGCTTATTGGTTTACAGCTCTACTGTTTTAGCTTAAAGATCTTCTGTTCTTTACACTAATTATTTTAAGCTCTCTTAGTAATTAATATGTGCAATCTAGTGCCTATTGTGTTTGTTTTATAATCAACATGTATCTCCATGTTAAGAGAAAGGAAAATAGACTTGTGAGTAATGTTTTATTTACTTACGGGTTCATGAACTAAAAGAGTCTCTCCCTATATCAGAATATGCTAGCTAGGTTCCAAGGATTCCAGATTTAAGTGGTTAAATTATGCGCTTCAGTGGTAGTGACATCACAACACTCTGCTTTATGTGAAATATCTTATTTCTGCTCAACTGTTTGAAACCAAGCTTAAATATTTGGATTCTTTATTAGACTTAACTTTCTTAGGGTAAACTAAAATTAGTATTGTCAAATTAATGGAATCTGTTTCTACAACCAGGCTTTGGTTGGAACTGTATTATTAATTAATTTAGATTTCATGGAATTTATGCATGCTTTGATATCTTGCATTCTGTTTCTAACACTGAAGGATTATGCAGGGCTTAATGGTTTTTAAATTGCAGGTTTATATTTCTAATATCAAAATGATAGTAAGAATTGTGTTAACAATTTGGCTCCAAATTCTCATGCTCTCATAATGTCCATGTTTTTACAAATATTGCATAATTTCATGAAGTCCATATTATGTCAAAATACAGTACTGCCCATCTACTCTAATATCTTTTGTAAGTCTGATTAAATCATTACTTTTTAGGAATTCTCCATAATTTCTTATTATATGATCTAACCCTTACTGATCATTTTTTATGAAATGGGCAATTGAATAATTAATTAGGTATTATAGTAGCTTAAGTAACACGTAGGGTAACATATGCTTAGTAATTCATATTTCTTTTGTGTTTTAACAGAAGAAATAACTAGTGTCTATAAACTTCATATTCCTTGGTCTTATGAAGATTCACTAACCATTTTATAACTTCCCTAAGAAAGATTTACCTTCTTTTTTTAGACCTTTTAATGTCAAAAAATATATATTTATGGCATAAAGAATTAAAGAATGAATTTCTTTTTAAATATTATTTTGGTATAAATTCCTTTACTTGGCATAATCTGGTTATAAGATATTCTGGTTAATTAAATATTCTAGTCAATATATACCGTAGCATTCATCCAGTTATCAAAGAATTTGAGTACAGGAAAATACACTAAATGATAAAACTACATTTTATACAATTTAAATGGTGGTTCAGAAGATTCTTTAAGATCTGAGTGTCTTTAGGTTGATTGCTGTAAAAAATTAATTGTACTTGGAGATGTAACAGAAGTGCTCAATTTAATAAAATATGAACTAAAGGAGTTTAGGGAAATAACCTTATTTATTTATTTATTTTTTAATAATTGTTTTAAACTAGGTGACAGTTAAGACTTCCTTTTCACAAATTCTTGGACAGGTAAGAGAAACTTCTGATTGATTATTTATTGCTTGTGAACAGATACTGTAGGGAAGTTGTGACCTTTTTCGGTAAAGGCCAGATAATTACATATAGTCTCTTTTGCTGATGCCACTGCTGTAGCTGCTGCTTTCTTCTTTCTTCTTTTTTCTTCTTCATTCTTCTTCTTCTTTAATAAAATCTAAAGACCATTCTTGGCCCACAAGCCATAGATGGCCAACTTCTGCTTTAAGGTGATATTTTCATGTTTGATACATCCTAGGAATGAGAGCTAATACCTGATTCTCAAACAAATTAGTATTTTTGCCTAAATGAATGTCGTATAAAGACCTCATGTTGCTCATACCACACGATAGTTCATAATACTTTAAAATCTGTAGGCTGTGTCATATAAGTGAACGTTTTCAAGGAGCTTTTTATATTGTGCATGTTTGTAAAAGGTAGAAATAAATTCTATTAAAGATAAATGTGTTGAAATTTATTTGCAAAGAATGTTACAAAAATAATTCATCAAGCAGTAGAGCAACACATTATTCAACATCGTTATAATTTGCACAGTTGTGCATTGTGGACCTAAATAAGATAATATTAGCTTTAAAATTCAGTAAAATTTTTATTGTAGTTTTTGGTACTTTATTTTTTTGGTTTATTGTATTTTGCAATACAGGCATAATAGAAATTTTTTTACTTTAAGTCATTAAATACTGTAATTATAATAAAACTAACAAATAAATTAGAAACATTTTTATATGCATTATCTCATTTGATCCTCACTGGTGAAAACTAGATTGTGATTATTATTAAAACCGAACATTAAAAAATTCCAAGTTAATGTATAAAAATTTCATGCTGAATTAGGAAGGGAAGGTTAAATGTTAGTATAAGTTGGAAAATAGCAACATGGATAGTTATAATAAGTATTTTTAAATGTTAAGGGACCAATTGTTAAATCTCTTGTAATATGGAGGAATAATTCATGCTATTTTATTTTTATTACAGTGCGTCCAAAAAACATGTTATTGTACATGGTGGTTTGGGGTGAGAATATAACATACTCTGTTATCCATATCATTCCTGTGACTCATAATTCAGATTAGCGACAAGAAAAGTCAAGTTATCTTGATAATTTATAGTCAAGCGTAATTGTACTCCAAAAGAGGACAGACTAGTATTGTTTAGGCATGGAAATCTTCCTAAACAGTGAGGATGTATGGGTGTTGCAGGATCAGAGGTGAGTACTTTATAAAGTGTCAGATAAAGAATTTGTGGTAATTGAGTTAAGTCCTTCTCAAATTATTGAAAAGATATGCTCTTCATGTTTGTTTAAAAATTTAGCTTGTAGGCAGTAGGAGAATGAATTAAAGTCATATATTTTATACATTTAAAAAAAAAGCAACCACTTTGGAGAATCCTTAGCCTTTGAGTAGACAATTCCTTGAGTAGATAATTTTTCATAAAATTAATATTTTTTCTAAATAAGGAAAGAGAAAAATATATTTACATATTCTTTAATGTACCTCTTATGAAAAAGGACAAAAAATAATTGAGGGCTAGTTGGTGAGCTCAGGGGCTTGGAGTGTGGTGTTTTAATACCAAGGTCAAGGTTTGGATCCCTGTACTGACCAGCCACCAAAAAAAAAAAATAAGAAACAAAGCAGTAAACTGAAAGTTTAAGTGAATTTCATAAACTCTAGTAAATCATTTCTATGTAGGAATGAAGTCCAGTGTTGCCAAATCCTTAGATTTTAAGAGTAACTGGAACTCTGGATTTTTAGGTGAAATCTTTTAATTTTGCAATGTTGGCATCTAATTCAAAATTTAAGAAAATACTATCTCAGATACTAAGCCAAATGAGGGATGTCTACAAACAGTTTGGCTATGAGCCGTGGAGGACAGTTTATGATTGTTGATTTAGCTGTACTTCGTATACCCAGATGTATCCATAGCCCAATATAAAACTTAATACTAATAACAATAACACTCTGTCATTAAAAAAGAAATTTTATGATCGGTATACTCTGTGTAGGACATTTTGCAAGATTCTAAAGATAGTGAAGGGCATTAAAAAGAATAATAACAGCTAACATTTTCCAGTTACTTACAATGTGCCAGTTACTATTCCAAATGCTTTACAAAAGTGTGAACACATTTAAGCCTCACACACCTGTGAGGTAAGTGCTGTTTATCTCATTTTACTGATGATGGCATAGAGAGTGAGGGGTAAGTAATTTGCCTGTTACATTTTTAATTGTGCAAGTTACTTGGGATCCCCATGTCTGGATTTCTTCACCTATAAATTAGGGATAAAACGGGCCGGCCCAGTGGCGCACTGCTACAGTGTGCCGCTTGGGAGCGCGGCGGCACTCCCGCCGAGGGTTCAGATCCCACATACAGACCGGTTCCCTCTCACTGGCTGAGCGAGGTGCGGGCGTGACACCGAGGGTTGCGATCCCGTTGCCGGTCCTGGTCCGGTACGGGCGCAACACTGAGGGTTGCGATCCGTTGCCGGACACGAAAAAAAAAAAAAAAAAAAAAAAAAAAAAAAAAAAAAATTAGGGATAAAAACTACCTCAAAGGATATTGGGAAGTGGGCGTGAGATAATGCATATAAAGTGTTTAGTATCATCCCTGGAACATATTAAATGCTCAATAAACATGCCTTTTATTGGCACGAAAAACAGTTTGTAGTATATGCTACTCACTTATATGTTCTATTATGTGCCTTTGATGAAAAATTCAGATGTGTTTCTAATATGCTATATATTAGAAAATTTTTATTTAAGAGTTTTGACACTCATTACTGAAAATAACTTTGTGGCGTGTGTCAGGAAAGGTTAAAGTGAAAACAACTTTTTTACTTTATGAGAAAGTACGTTTATTTCATTAATATGAATATTCAGAAGTTTCCCATGGATTTGCCTGTCTTTCAGGTAGTTAGATTTCATGGTGGAGCTCTTCCTGCTTATGTTATATCTAGTATCCTTCTTGCTTATGGAGGACAGTTATACTCTCTTTTTTCAACAGGTAAGAATGCTTATATTTTTAAGTTCCTTTTGCTATGAATATTAAAGTAGAACAACTTAATTCTCTCTGTGTGTATATTTAATTCTATTAATTATTGTATTTCTTAATTCTCTCTGTGTGTGTATTTAATTCTATTAATTATTGTATTTCTCTGATTACAACCCAATGGTGGAGTTGAACATGGTCTCTATATTCTGTAAGTTGGTAATTAGAATTACAGGCTTGATCAGATTCAGGTTTTCTTCCTACCCTCCCCTGCCCCTTTTCTTCTTGTTGTTGCTGCTGCGAGTACTTCGTAGTGCTGTAGACTTCTGGTAGGAGGCACTCACTCCGTAACTTCCTTCCATGTCATCTTTGTTTGTCTCCTTCCATCCTCCTTTGGTTCCTTCCCTCTTTCCTCCCTTTTATCTCTTCTCTCTCTACTCCCCTTCCTTCCTTCTTTTCCTCCTTCCTTCCTCTTTCCTTCTTTCCTCCCTTTCTTCCTCCCTGCTTCCTTCCCTCCCTCCTTTCCTCCTTCCCTTTCTCTTTTCCTCCTTTCTTCCTTGGGCCAATGATTCATTATTACTTTTTCCTCCTAAGTGTGGCTAAATAAGACAGGTAATTTCTTGAAAATTCACGGCCCATCTCTCCCAAGTATGTAGGGATTTGGGATTCTCTAAGTTTTAAGACATCTCCAAGAAAATTCCTTGTTTTCTCCATTTTGTACCCTGGTGCCTGAAGTTTCTTCCCTCTAGTCTAAGGACCCCTTAAAAAATATAGCCTCATAGAGGGCATCTTGCTCTTTTATTCCCAGTGCCTAACATAGTGCCAAGCACACAGTATGCATTCAGTGTAATATTTGGGCTATATCAGCTATGTTAGTTAGGTCCTGGCACACTGAATGGAATGATAGAGATGTTAATGAAGGAGCTGTTTTCAAGGTATGTGCAGCGTTAAGGGAATCCAACAAGAAATGATAAAAGTACCAGACTAGCAACAGAGCCATCTGGTTATTAATTTAGGTACCAAGGCAAGAGAGGGAGTAATCCTGGAGGGCTATAAGAATGGGCAACATAACTGGTATTGCAGCCTTGGGTACAGGAACACTGTAGTCATAGGCACTGCTAACCTATGACTCAGCAGGGAAAAAGGAGGGGGGGAATTCATACTCTAATTTTATTTCCTTCTACCCTCCTATTTGCCAGTACCCCCGTTTACCAAACCTAACTGGAAGCCAATCCATAAAAGTTAGCCTTCCAGAGTTCAGAGAAGAGTGGCGGGTGGAGAATGGATATGGAGAGGCAGATGTGGAATATGTAAAACAATGGACAAAACAGCCCCTAGAGCATAGCAATTAGAACAGTTTCCTAGAAGTCTAAACATTGATTTGTTGGGCTTGGATAGTAATCAAGGGAGGCAAGAAATAGGAAAGAAGAGTGGGGCCAGAATATTATAAAAGCAGTTCATAAATTGTTTCCACTGTGCCAAATCCTTCTGCAGCTACTTAGTGCCTTTTAATGACTTTTGTGCAGTTTCAAGTCTGTCTTTAGTATTCATTCTAACCTGATTTAACCTATGTTCCAGAAAGAGGAAAACACAATTCAGTGTGATCTGTCCCAGACCCAACCTTTTAATTAAGATATTAGTTTGGCAGTATGATATCAATCAGACTTGAATATAGGTATCTATCTTGCTTAAAAGTCTGAATGAGACACTCCATTCTTAGTTTCAACTGACTTGATAATTAATTCTCAAAGGTACAGAATTTACATCTACATAATCCACAGAAAACCCAGGGATATTTGATGTTGGTTAATCTAGAGGATTTAAGTATGGTTATGTCTCAAACCAATTAAAGAGGGTAGTTCTGAACCAAGGATGCAAGTCAAAAATCCCCTGTTGATCATACCTACTAGAATGACTGTAATAAAAAAAGACATAAAAAAAAAAGTGTTAACAAGGATATGAGAAATTGGAACTCTCATACTCTGCTGGTAGGAATGTAAAATAGTATAGCTGCTTTGGAAAACAGTCTGACAATTCCTCAAGCAGCTAAACATTAGAGCTATCATATAACTCAGCATCTCCATTCTAAGAGTGTACCCAAGAGAAATGAAAGCATGCACTCACACAAAAATGTGTACACAAATGTTCATAGGCGTATGATTCGTAATAACCAAAGAGTGGAAGCCACCCAAATGTCCATCGATTGATGAATGGATAAATGATCCAGGAATCTATAATTAATAATGATTTAACCATATGTTATCAAACGAGTAGAAGAGAAGGACCAAATGTGCAAATCACAACGAAATGACTAAGTCTTGCAATAAGGAGAGTCTGCTAATTACCCTGAATAGATCATCACACATTGTATACATGTATCAAAATATTTCTCTGAATCCCATAAATATGTACATTCAATGTTTCAATAATTTTTTTTAAAAAGTAGTATATCCATAAATGGAATATTATTCAGCAATAAAAAGAAATGAAGTACCAATACATGTTACAACATGAATGAATCTTAAAAAATGCCAAGTGAAAGGAACCAGTCCTTTCATCTAATCATATAATCACATATCATATGATTCCATTTATATGAAATGTTCAGAATAGGCATATCTGTAGAGACAGAAAGTAGATTAGTGGTTGCCTAGGGATGGGGAATTTAGGGGTGATGGTTAAGGAGAACAAAGTTTCTTCTGGGGGTAATGAAATGTTCTAAGACTGTGGTGATGGATGCACAACTCTGTGAGTATATTAAAAACCATTGAATTGTATATATTTTAAATGGATGAATTGTATGGTATGAGAATTATATCTCAATAAAACTGTTTAAAACGTCACCTTTGGATGGCTGGTCAGTTAGCTCACTTGGTTAAAACACAGTGCTGATAAAAAAAAAAATCACTTGTGGAGCTTTGTGAAAATATAGATGGTGACAACCCAGCTTTGACTTCCTGAATTTGTTTTACAAATGATTGAATGTGTACTCTTATATAAGAACCACTGAATTACAGTAATATTTTATTTATTTATTATTTATTTATTTATTTATTTATTTATTTATTTATTTATTTATTTATTTATTTATTTATTTATTTATTTATTTATTTATTTATTTATTTATTTATTTATTTATTTATTTATTTATTTATTTATTTATTTATTTATTTATTTATTTATTTATTTATTTATTTATTTATTTATTTATTTATTTATTTATTTATTTATTTATTTATTTATTTATTTATTTATTTATTTATTTATTTATTTATTTATTTATTTATTTATTTATTTATTTATTTATTTATTTATTTATTTATTTATTTATTTATTTATTTATTTATTTATTTATTTATTTATTTATTTATTTATTTATTTATTTATTTATTTATTTATAGATGACCAGTAAGGGGATCTTAATCCTTGATTTGGTGTTGTCAGCACCATGCTCTCCCAAGTGAGCTAACCAGTCATCCCTGTATAAGGATCCAAACCCGGCCTTAGTGATATCATCACTACACTCTCCCAAGTGAGCCACAGGCTGTCCCTAGTAATTTTTAATTTTTCAAAAAGGGTTTCTATGATAGTAATGAAGACCCTTGCTTTCTCTGAAATAAAATGTGTTATTGTTATAGACAATACAGGGTGTCTATAATACCCTATTATATTGTGAATTCTCTGTTGCATATAACTTTTTTTTTTTTTAAATCATCAGGTTATTGCTTAGAATATGCTACCATGTTGGATAAGGAAGCCAAACCATACAAAGTTGATCCTTTTGTAATTATGATTAAGTTTCTGTTGGGGTAAGTTTATTATCTGTGATAATGATTTTAATTTTGTTTTATATAAAAAAACATGTTTAGTTCCATAATGCTATATGAATTTTTATACAGATTTGGCCATTGACTTATTTCATTAAATGGGATTTTTCTGTTAAGCAAAGGCTTAATAAGTATGTCATTTACTTCAATAGTATAATCATTTCAGAAGTAATTATTGAACTTCTATATCAGTCTAAACATAGACTATAAATATACTAGGACTTTAATATTTGCAAAATGGATGTACGTGGTCCATGATCTTTGAGTATCCCAGATTCACAAACACAAATTATAGGTTATAGATGAAACAGTGCTTCTGATCACTTTCTCTTACTTCCCATGCACACTGTATTTTAGACTTCTAATACTAGTTAATATTCCATTCTTAATTTATTGATATGTTGTGTTTTTTGGTTAAAAATCATTACTTAGATCTCTTTTCTTTCATCATTACAACTACCTACTGGCTTTCTAACTAAAAAAAAAAAAAAGAAAAAACATTACTTTATACAAGGATCAATAGAGAGCAGTAAAGCTGTACTGAGACTCAGGCTCACTTGGAAGATAAATGACTTGTTTCATACAAAGAATGAAAATTTTTTTTTTAGTATAATTACAATTTAAATACCATGGAACTTTAGGGACTCAAGTGAATCATCAAACATCTCAAATGTTCAATCCTTGAATGTCATTTGTTGGTTTGTTTTTTTTTTCTTTTATATTTTCTTTTTTTTCACAGGTATAAATGGTTTAAAGAATTATGGGAAGTGAATCATCAAACATCTCAAATGTTCAATCCTTGAATGTCATTTGTTGGTTTGTTTTTTTTTTTCTTTTATATTTTCTTTTTTTTCACAGGTATAAATGGTTTAAAGAATTATGGGACATATTATTGTTACCAGAATTAGATGCCATCTTTTTAACTAGTCAGAGTATGTGTTTCCCCCTTGTATCCTTGATTCTCTTTCTGTTTGGAACATGTACTGCCTACTGGAGCGGCCTATTCTCTTCTACATCTGTGAGACTCCTTTCTTCTTTGTGGCTAACTTTGAAAAGGTAAAGAATGAATGACTAAAAGCTTTCTTATTGCTCTTAATTAAGAAAAAATTTATATTCTGATAGGGAACCTTCAAATTAATTGTTTTTACTAAACTAGTTTCTAAGGAAATATGTATAACTAGCAAAAGTATGGGTTGGTGTTCAAAGTTATGTGTTTGTCAGAGCTAATCATTTATTGCAAGTTAAATGCTACATTTGATTTTGACCTTAGTACTCAAGAGTTAATCACAAATTTTGACAAATTACACAGGTATTTTTTAATTTCATGGTTGTAAATCTTTCCCAGGAGAAATTGTTTCTCTTGCAATGCTTTTATATACTGATTTCTATAATCAAATCTAAGGTCAAGAAACTCCAATGAAGATATTTAGCATCAGATTAGATGAGATGTATAAAAGCTCCAAAAACATTGTCTAAAGTTTTATTATAGGCCCAAAGACACAGTTTGAAGTTACTGGTAGGCTTTCCTGATAAATAATCTAGTTTCCATTGCCACTCCTCTTTACCAGACATGTTATGAAATTTCTTGTCACAGAGGGCATTATGGTATGGTGCTTCCTTCTCCACCCTTTTAAGATGCTTCTGACAGGGGTTTCTGATAGTAACACCATCAAGCAGCTGAGTAATTTCAGTGCTTTAAGAAATAGAAAATTGTCCCTCCTCCTATCAAGATTGGGAATGTATGGCACAGGGTGTAAAGTTAATGTATCTTTTGTAACATTTTTTCTTCCTTAATACAAGTATCAGCCACAGTGTATCTAAATGGAAGAGGAACTATCACAGTGTATTACAGAACTTAAAATCAAATGTATGTTATCACTTGCCTTTATTTAAAAAAATCTTACTGTTTACCTTATGATACTTGATATATTAATAAACAGGAGAGACTGGCAGAGTACTATATTGTTTTCTTCTTATATGTGACTGCATAAATATCTGTGAATATATTTTTTAAAACTTTATTCTTGTTATTTCAGACCCTCTGAACTTCCTAAAGACATCAAGATGATATCACCTGACTTGCTCATTTTGACAGTTGTTTTGACCATACTTAGTTGGACAGCTTGTGGAGCACTTGCCATTCTTCTTTCTTATCTTTACTATGTGTGTAAGGTATGTCAGATCCATAAAGCCAGAATGACTGGGCTTTGTATTGGGCAGGTAGGTATAGAATGTCTTGTAGGCATTGTTAACAAAAATTTTAATTACCACTGTAGTGACCTTCTGTTATATAACAGGTTTAAATGAAAAAAGATTTTTTAAACATCCTAATTATGTAAATTGTATACAGTTAACTGTAGAATTGAAATTATTGATCTGAATTAGGTTTTTTTGTTTTAAAAAAAAGGGAGAAGATATCTGTTTCAGGTTGCTTCATTGCTCTTGAAAATTAATTTTTTAAAAAAATTTTATCAGAGTGATTTTCATTCAAATCTCTCTATGTGTGAGAGACAAAACAAAGAGTTATGTCAATCAGATTAAGCTATCAATCATGCTGAGATAATGTAAAATGTTACAAATGTTGCTGAAGAATCATAAGACAATAATAAAAATAATTAGGCTAATAATTTTACGGAGGAAGCAACAAACACTTCCAAGAAGGCTGATGGCTTTGCAGGAAAATCCAGGAGGTTATAAAACTGCCTACTCTCCACATTAATCTTATGGACCAACAGTTAATATCACATTGGATAATAATTTTTTCTTTTTTAAACAAAGATATATTTGCCTCTGCTTTTAACACAAATACATGCACATTTCAGATTATTTTCAGTTTTCCAAAGGAAATTTATGTGCATTTTAAAAAACTACTTAGAGCTACTTTAATTTATGAATGTATTTTTAGTATTTTTATTAGAACTTTCAAACAGCTGACCCATAAGCAAAACTTTCTCAAAATGATTTAGGCAAACCTAATAAATTAAGTTTATAAATTTTCTCAGGTTTTTATAAGTATTTCACCACCATATATAATTGAGTTTAGATTTTCAAATATTTAGAATACGTAAAATATGTTAAGTTCTTGGGCCGGCCCGGTGGCGCACTGGATAGTGCGCCGCTTGGGAAGTGCGGCGGCGCTCCCGTCCGAGGGTTCGGATTCGAAGGACTAGACAGG